ACTACTACTACTACTACTACTACTACTACTACCACGACCACTACTACTACTACTACTACTACTACTACTACTACTACTACTACTACTACTACTACTACTACTACTACTACTACTACCACGACCACTACGACGACGACTACTACTTCTATACGACTCCTGCTGCTGCTCCTCCTCCTGCTCGTGCACGCAACACCAGCAATTGAGGGCTCTTGTTGTGAGCTTTTCGGATTGAGGGCTTCATCCTACACAAGGTTTTAGGCCTAAGCCCTAAACCCTAAACCCTAAACCCTATGTTGATTGGAGGGCTGCAGAGTTCCAGGGCTCAGGCAGAAAAGTTTTCTCGCACTGCAGGCAAGCACTCTCCACATGCTGTTGGATCTTCCGATCTTTACTTCAGTCTTTATGGTTTCGAGTTAAAGAGTTTAGGGTTGATGGTTTCGAGGTTAGGGATCTAGGGTTTAGTATTTATGGCAAGTTGATGGTTTAATTTAAACGCTTCGCGTCGTCCGCCTCGGCCCGGCCGCGCTGTTAACAGAGAGCGAATTTCGAGTTTAAGATTGAGGATTTGTGGGTTCCATTATTTCGGACTCAAACCCTAAACCCTAAACCCTAATTCCTAAACCCTAAACCCTAAACCCTAAACTCCAGGTTCAGTCTAAGACTCGCCCTGGCCATTGTTCTTCCAAGGGCACGGGGACGGTCACCGGGCTCTCGGTAAACCGTGACAGTATTGCTTGAATGCTGAAGCACTATTCGAGACCTCCCCTAAACCCTAAACCCTAAAACCCTAAACCACTAAACCCCAAAACCCCTAAACCCCTAAACCCTAAACCCTAAACCACTATATAAACCCTACCACTAATCCCCAAAACCCTAAACGCTAAACCGGTAATTCAATCCAGGCCTTGATACTAAGCAGTTCTACTCCGGGGGCTCACATGTAGCGACAGCTTCGGCTGACAGGCTGGATCTTCTAGTGCTCGTGGGTTCCTTTAAGGATTCTATAAGGGATTTACGGTTTAGAGTTTAGCGTTCCTTTAAGGGTTCCTTTAAGGGTTCTATAAGGGATTTACGGTTTAGAGTTTAGAGTTCCTTTAAGGGTTCCATGAGGGGTTTAGGGTTTAGGGTTTGCTCTCAGGGTTCCTTTAAGGGTTCCCTTACGGGTTCTATAGGGATTTAGGGTGTAGGGTTCCTTAAAGGGTTCCTTTGAGGGCTCCAGGGCTTACTTGGAGGTAAATGGGCATTTAGAAGTGGATTTATAGGTAGCTTTACTATATAACTCTACTCCATAGAAAGAGGACTTGAATCCCCATTTATACATATCCATGAACCTCGAAAAAGGCGCTCCAGTTTGTCATTCTACTTGCAAAGCCCCGGGTCGCACCAGTCTCCACGCCTGTGTCAGACCGTGCGAGCCGTTAGCTACAAGACCGCAGCAGGATTTCGCGCATCCGGGTTTTACCTGGGTTCAAGGTCTGAGGTGCACGATTTCGAAACCGCGAATCCCAAGACACCATATATATATATATATATATATATGTAGATGTATTCCCAACCTCTGGATGCCAAACCCCTTACACCCTAAACCCCTAAATCACTCTAAATGCAGGGGTCTGGGAATGTAACATCACCAGGCCCATTCCGCCGCAGACAGCGCTGATGTGGTTCCGCGATCGAGAGATGAGGCAGTTGCAGGGCTTACCTGGGCTCCGAAGGACCTGCCTCTTTAAGGACTTATACAAGGAAACCATAAGGGTTTCGGGTTTAGGGTTTAGGGTTCAGGGTTCAGGGTTCAGGGTTCAGGGTTTAGGGTTTAGGGAAGGCCCTAAAAAGGTAGGTTCTTTAGGCTCCAGGTCGGGGTTTTTTCGCTGTCTTTGAAGCTGATGAGATTGCTGGGCTCCTTAAGGATTTAGGGCTCAGGTTTTTGCGCAGCAGGGTGGGGCTTAGAGTTTGGGGTTTAGGATTCAGGGTTTGGGGTTTAGGGTTTAGGGTTTAGGGTTTAGGGTTTAGGGTTTAGGGTTTAGGGATAGGAGTTAGGGGGCACAGGAATTTAGAGTTTTGGGGATCTGGTGCTCAGGGCTTTGGGTTTGGGGGGTCTTACATGGCTGTTAAGGCTTTACCTGGACCCCACCCTAAACCCTAAACCCTAAACCCTAAACCCTAAACCCTAAAACCCTAAAGAGTATGTAGAAATATAGCCGGCTATAGGTGTTGGGCCGTTATTTTACCCTCTCTGAGGGCGTTTAGGTAGAAGTGTTCAGTAAAACCCAGAGAGTCCATACATACTATACCATATTTTATGCTACCATTATGGAATAGGGTTTAGGGTTTAGGGTTTAGGGTTTAGGGTTTAGGGTTTAGGGAATTCTAACGAGCATGGTCTTTTGGGACGTAACTCCATAATCGTAGTATATATGGACCCTCTGGGCGAAAGGATTCGAAAGGCTTTGACCAAGTCTTAGTGTTCAGCGGTCTAGCGGTATTGCGGTCTGAAGAGGAGGGAGCGAGGTTGATCCGGGTATGTTTTGCTCACACCTTCAAGCGGGTGTCAGCGTGGCATGGTCTCAAGATGTCTCAAGTAATTAGGGTTTAGGGTTTGAAGGTGATTTGAAGGGCATTTTCAGGTGGGTAGTTACCGCTATAGGAGCGTTAGAAGGTTTGTACACCTTATAGAAGCCTTTTAGAAGCCCTTTGTCACCCTAAACTCCCCACCTCTAGTTTCCTTTAACCCCAAACCCTTATATGTAAAGGAACCTTAAACCCTATAAGCCCTAGAAACCCTACATTCCCCTATAAACCCTATAAACCCTAAACCACTAAACTCCCCACCTGTAGTTCCCTAGCTCAACCCTAAACCCTAATACCCCAAACCCTAAACCCCTAAATCCCAAAACCCTAATACCCTAAACCCTAAACCCCTAAACCCTAAACCCTAAACCCCTAAACCCTAATACTCTAAACTCCCCACCTCTAGTTTCCTTTAAGTTGGGGTGCCAGCCAAAACCCTAAACCCTAAACGTTCTGCAGTTCCGGCCTTCGCAGTCCTGGGACTCCTTTTGATACAGCAAAATATGGGCTGTTTCTCCGAATTTGAGTCCCTTTTAGGCTTCCCTAAAAGGGATCTTATAAGGCTTATGAGGGTTTCTATAAGGGTTTGTATAAGGGTTTGTTTAAAGGGGACAATCAGGGTTCTATCTAGGTAGTTATCTAAATTAGGGTCCCTTTTAGGGTCCTTTTTTCAGGGTGCCGGACTAATTTTTTCGGGGACCTAAAAAGGGACCCTATCTTGGAGAACTACCAATGCTCTAAACGTTTAGCTTTCTTGGCGGTGCCGAAGCTTCGACGCAGACACTCTCTAAATGCCGCTGTCAGTCACTGCTGGACCTTGCACTAGCGCCTTATAGCGCCTACAAGTTTAAGGGCCTAAACCCTAAACCCCTGGCACTCCATATCCTTGCGCCCGGAGCCTCAAAAACTATACACCCTAAACCTCAGCACGATACTTCCCCTTCCCTGTCTCCAAATTTCTGGCCTCTGCTGTAACTTGTTCTTCAGTAGTGACCACCACCATCAGCACCACCACCGCCCCCAGCACCACCAGCACCACCTCCACTGCCAGCACCACCAACAACAGCAGCAGCGGCAGCAGCAGCAGCAGCACCACCACCAGCACCAGCACCAGCACCAGCACCAGCACCAGCACCAGCACCAGCACCACAGACAATATTATCAGCATCGCCACGGTTAACCACCATGAACAACACATCGTCGTCAACATACCTGTGTGG